TTATTATATTATATATATATATATATATATATATATATATATATATATATATATATATGTATACAAACGAACAAGCCATTACTAAATTATGGAATCCAGACAAGTCAATTAGTCGACTTTGTTGTTTGTCTCAAGTGAAAGTAGTTCCGAAATTTTACAGAAGTAACAAAACTCCTTTATACGATCTCGTTGGCCACAGTGATCGTATATTGTGCTGTGACTGGTCACTGAATGAATTAATTGCGAGTGGTGGCGTGGACTGTACAGTTAAAACATATCGACGGAAGATGTGAAAGTTGATCAACTCTTACGTTTTCCAAATATAACGTGCTAATAATCTGAAACAGAATTATGAACAGTATTGTAAACATTGATATTTACAAAAAATTATATTAAATCGCACTTGTAGATATGGTATTTAAAAAGAAGTTTTTTGAATAAAAATTTAATGAATAAAATAAGAAGGCAATTGATTATTCTTGTCGTTAACTCTGAGCCATGCAATTACAGGCATACTTCGGATATTGGAAAAGTGTACCAACTTTTATAATTTCTAACACTTTGTATGACATTTTGTGTGTTTGGATTTACACATTCCTGGTGTTATGTATATTTTGTTGAGTTTGTCAAAAATAAAGTTTTGTCATTTATTTTCTTAACTTTTAAAGGTTTTTTTGTCCAAAGCATATTTCCTGTTCACTTCTACTCAGTTTTACAGTTTCGATTGGCTATTGTTCATGTGTACTGGTCTTGACATTATGCTGGGTATTGAAAAAGCCAACCGTGTTGTCAGATGACTTTAAAATATTTCTCACGAACTTTAGACAAGCGTAAAAGTTCCTAGGTTATATTTGACTGGCTAGATCAGAACAGAAGGAGTTGTCATTGATAGCAACAGGCGGTATCCAAACAAGGGTTCGACACTGCTAAATATATGCTAAGTGGAAGTGGAGTAATATGAAATATTCGCAGTTGCTGGGATTTTGTAATATATATTATAATAAAGCAAGCTTGTAGCAGTCATCTCTCTGTTTGGTACTGTTGATAAAAGGTCTGATTAAAACTTTTATACTACTTTTAGGATGAATGATGTTTGGAAGTTGAGTTTTTAAAGTTTGATTTAAATTATTTCAGATTTTCCACTGTTGGCATATATTATAGTCAAGAGAAACCATGGGTAAAGGATTTCAAAATTTTATGAGCAAGAAGGATTTCCATCCAAGTGCTTGGTGGAATATCAAGAAGGTATATATTTGTTGATAATTTGGTTTCTTAAGCATCCCATACATCCTTTTGGAAGATCTCCCGCGTTTGGTTGTTTTTTAGGTATGGGAAGCGCGTCAGAAAGATGAAATGGAGAAAAAACGACAGGAGGACTTGCGTGTTGCATATGAACGGGAACAAGATATACTCAACAATAAGTATGGTTTTTTTTCTCATCTGTGACCGAAATTGAAAGGTGACTGAAAAATTGAATATAATATTTTCGATAACGACATTGGGTTTATTTCAGAGCCCTTCTGGGCGATGAAAAAGCACGTATGGGTCTTTCGTTTATGTATGATGCGCCTCCTGGAATTAACAAAAAAGAAGAGGACAAACCCGAACCAAAATTCGAATGGCAAAGAAAGTACAATGCACCGAGAGAAGAGCAAGTTTTTTTTCGAAATTTTTTAAAATGCATTCATTGTTTAGTTTTTTCTGCTTATATGCAACGAATTAGTTATCCAGGTTATAAATCTCATTAAGAAGATTATAGAAGATTATAGCTCCTCATTCTTGTTTACTTTAATATAAAACTAATTTCTACAAAAAATTTTTCTGTTTATCTTGAAAACTTTCTACATCACCTATTAACCGTAAACTTTATTCGTTCAATACATTAGTCGGGGTTCAATACATTAGTCAGTGTATCTTTGCTATTCTCATGATGAATCCTTCTCTGTTAATACAATGAAAGCTACAATTTTTCCAATATTCTTCTTTGATAAAACATTTTTCTTCAATATCTATTGTACTTGTTTATTTCATTCATAAATATAAGTATTAATAGTATTTGACTATATATATATATATATATATATATATATATATATATATATATATATATATATATATA